AACTGTTGAATTATACCATCTAAAAGTTTGGGTTTCAACTGTTGAATTATACCATCTAAAAGTTTGGGTTTCAACTGTTGAATTATACCATCTAAAAGTTTGGGTTTCAACTGTTGAATTATACCATCTAAAAGTTTGGGTTTCAACTGTTGAATTATACCATCTAAAAGTTTGGGTTTCAACTGTTGAATTATATCATTTAAAAGTTTGGGTTTCAACTGTTGTATAATGTCATTTAAAAACTTGGATGATTTAAATTGTTAGAAAACTTGAGTTTCATGTCTTACCTATTTCATCAAACATTAATGTATTAATAACCCATATAAATGAGTGCCAAAAAGACCTTCACTTCACAAACAATTAACAAACCTTTAGTACAGGAGTGGCCATCATCTATTCCATTTTGTTCAGCCATCTTTAGTTCTGCTTGTCTGTTATAGTAATCCAGGACACTCATCTCGCCCGCGTAAACTGCCTGTTGCATATTAGTGATCGACTGCTCGTGATAGTTTCCCAGATTGTCCATGCCGTACTGAGCTTGTAACATACGGAACTCCCGTTGTTCCCTTAAGCGTTGCTCTTCCCGCTCACGTCGTTCGATCTCCAGAGCCAGTAAATGGTCTGACAAGGCGCCATCTACAAGACAAAAAATGAAATGTGCTATAGAGTCCATTATACAGCAAATTTAAATAAAGCTTAAGTACTATTGTCTAACCATCACAAGGAAATTTCATAACAAAAAAAGTATCTATAATACATATTGTACACTGCACATTGGAATGTAATTCCTGAAATGAAACAAATTTAGTGTTTATTACTATAACAACACCTAATAAAATGAATACCTATACAGAGAAGTTTAAAAGTAATAGGATTCCATCATAAATGCTGTTGTGTTTTGTTTTTCTTACAAGTGACTAAGCTGCATAGGAAAGTGTACCAAGCCAGGTGCAATAATGCTTGACAGCACAAGGAATACAATTTTGGCCATTTCATATAATTTGTGAAAAATACTGTTTGCAGTAACTTTCAACAGCTGTAACACAATGAAATAAATCTTTTTATTTTCTTCCTAAACTTACCTATTACATAGGAATAGGCTATATTATACAACATTCTTCAGCATATACACTGACAACTACAACTTGTGTTTGAATTTAATGAACACACACACACACACACACTGATTTACACAGAGAAAATTACATTAATTTGCTAAATGAATAGCATCATCACGAAATACAGAGAAGCACAAGTAACTCACAGGGAATGGTAAGGCACATTCTGACGAGCATTTTTGTGCAGCCGAAAAAGTTGAAGGAGGTATGGGTGAAGAGTTACACATTGTGAAAATCAAGCAGTTGTGGGTAATGTCCAGTAAGTCACCTCAGTAAATCTAACAGGGATTTTGTTGGGTTTCTATTATTCTTTTTAGTAGCTCTATTTCTTCTCTGTCTATTAATTTCAATTTGCATTTCTTTCTCTTTATTATACTCTCTATCTTCTATTCATAACTCCTTTGGGTTAATCATAAACTCTTTCTCAAACAAGCTGCCGTTTGTCTGTGTCTGTCATCCCTAGAATACCTACACGACGTCTGTTAACATTAAACTACTTCATTTTGTATGTTTTAGTAGTTAGTCTTGTTGGTGGTATCATGAACCTCCTATTACTTTAGCTCTGCTGCGAAGCTAGATAAAGTACTTTCCTTTTATTGATTTCTCCTCACTTGTTTGAGGTTATTCACCCTATTCAGTAAGGAAGTCCTTTACGTCTACTGTCACTTCTGAAAGCTGCTTTAATTATGTGTGTTGAAACTGTCATTGACTTTTTTTACAGCTTACTTTTTTGAGTCACAAGTATTTCAACTTACTAGACTGGTAACATTCCAAGTATTTTGTGACTTTTTACAGCTTACTTTTTTGAGTCACAGGTATTTCAACTTACTAGACT